GTACTAGCTCTACTGGACATTGGTAGTACCAGTTACTTTCTATTTTTACTGAAGAGAGTTGACGTTGGATGAAAACCTACCGTTGGTATGATATTGATTCTCCACACGAAGTTCTGTTGTCACGGTCGAAGGCGATCTTTTCTATTTGACTCTCTTTTTCTCATAAAGCATGTCATTAAAAGATTCGAAGTCAAACAGTATGCCACAGACTACGAAATGGAGCCACTGACATTCSTGCGAGSTAAGTGATGAATCTATTTCGATTCTCGTGTACACTGAGGAAAACTCAAAGAAGAAAAGACTATAAAAATCAAGGATGGCATCAAAAATCCACACAAATAACGAAGCTTGGACCCGCGACGATTGGCTTAGATCCACTCGKGCACTGTGCGACGCATTTGCCAATCACGGTACCGTAGAACAAATCATCAACTGTTTCTCATCGTCTCGACCCGACGATATTCTTTTGTTCGAACACGGCCTGCCCGAATTGGCGCCATTTCTTGGGAGAACCTTTCGGGGAAAGCAGGGTATTCGAGACTACTTTGGAATCGTTTCCAAACACTTGTCCTACRAGGACATGWCGTTTTCGGATTATATTTTAGACAAGGAACTCAGGGTGGCTTCGGTGCGTGGAGAGGCYAAATTTACATGGAAATCGACGGGGAAGAGCTGGAAAGAGGTCTTCATTTACCGGATACAGCTCGACGAGGATGCAAACGTCATGGTCTATGAGGTGTGGGCGGATTCTGGAGCTGCAAATCTAGCAAGCTTAAAGTAAACGARKATGTGCAATAATTATATCAAGCACACCATATCCCTATGTTCTGAACTTTTCCAAAACAGTTTTAAACAWTGAAGTTAAGGCAGCGAGATGACGCTTATTCCATTTCTCCGCTAGAAACTGATGTGATTCACCTTTGACTTTGACTGCGCTCCAAGCACCCAATTGATTGAATATCTTCGTCATGCTCGCATCTGTCCTTTTTATKATCAGTTTCTSCAACGGATACACCGACAATTACGAGTCCTTGAGGATAGATCTTTGGTCGTATTGCACGACAGCCACATTCGATTTGCATCGATTTGCAATTGTATCTTCAGCTGACGTCACGTGCTATCATGCCTCCGTTTCCTCTGTACTTTGATCTTCTGYAAAACACCAGCTTCCTGGCACCCAAGCATCATCGGAATTGCGTGTCTGAATTCTGTGACGTTTATTCGCTTTTGCAATTCGTCTGATAAGTCTCCTGCTTCTCCCCGAGACTTGCCTACTGCCGCTGGGGCTTCCATTGACCATCGACTTCGTATTGTTGTCATTATCGTCATTGCGAACTCCATAATTGTTGTCATTGACGATGCGATCATCATTACCATATTCATCATTTGAATTGGAGGTATGATATTCGTTATTTTCGTCCTCATCAAAGAGTCCTTCAATGTCGATATCCGGGCCGTCTTCGTTGTAAAAGCCATCGGCACGTGCACTCTCCGTCGCCTTTCGAATTCCCCGTAGGTATTTGAAAAGGCTAATCAGCGCCGAGCGGTCTGCGATTTCGATGCCGCTATTGTCACTAGTGAGTAGCTTTTCAATATCCCGAGCAAAGAACTTTTTTGCGAAAACGCGGACATCGAGAGGCGTCTGGCAGCAGAGACGTTTGGATTGAACCGTGTCGATCCAAGAAAAYTCATCTATGTGATTGCTATCATACACTCCTCGGCGACAGCTAATGAATCGCAATTGACACATCGCACAAACATTGGTTCTGCATGTGACGTTCGRACAATGGGAAATTTCCTGAACTGGCTTGCGAACACAGCAAATCTCACACTCGAGCAAGTTATTTCCGGAATTTACTGTTGTGCGTATAGAAGCGAGTCGCGATGATCTACGCGTATTATCTTCATACTGCTGTTCGTCGTTGCTGCTACTGCTATGGTTACTGTCCAGCCAGCACCAGCTCCYTCTGCTCCAACCATCGAAACAAATTCCATCGTCTTCGTACTTTTGCTCCTCAACCTCTTCCCAGCACCAGTCCCCCACCTCCCAGTCGTTATTCTGACGTTGTTTGTTGGAAAATTTCCCACCAGTCAATACCGAGTAAGGGTAATATCGACTTTGTTTGGTKTTCAGGCTTCCATTTCCATCGTCATGGAGACGGGTTTTGCTTCGATTTGCGGATGCTGGAAGAATTTCGCTTCCATACATACGGGGCACACCCCTTGTCAGTCCTGGTTGTGACATCMTTTGCTCGYTTGTTTCTACCAATATGGAGKTTGGTGCTTATTTCTTCATTCGAGGATCAGATAGATTGGATTTGTTGCTCTACTATTCTATGCACCTGCCTCGTACTCTTGAGATGATATTTTTCGAACTTCCCGGACAACTRTGCCGTTATTTTTGRCTACCGCTACAGTCMGTCAGAGTTTACAGAAAATCTTCGCCGCTGTGAGGATGACACCATTATTACCATTACTGTTTACAACCTCCCGTCTAGACATTTCTCGTATGTTATTTTCTTAATTGGTCCAGTCATTTTTTCAGTTTAAAGTCTTAAGTCGAATTTTTACTACAGATATCACAACAATTGATCGACACTAAGAAAGAGGTTCCCATCGTTAATTTATTGCTTATGTACCGGTACGAATGACACGTCCGGAATCACTCCGCCAATGGGTCATTCACGAAAACATAAATCGAGCTGTGCCTTCAGTACCACTGAGAGTGATTCCTGAAAACATATCTTGATTTATGCTTTTGGGAATGACCCAATACATAAACCAAACCAAATAATTTAGTAGTAACTATACATTATATTTCAACTCCAGTTCAACTGTTAGATTTTGAGTGATATTGTCTGAGGAGGGTTCTTTGAGAGCAGCAATATCATGTACTACTTGAAAAGAGATAACATAGATAGTATCTGTATTTCCTGTTTAAAAAATTGTCATTATAGGAGCTCTTCCATGGCAACATTCTGAACTGTTTCACTTCTTCCTCAGACCAATCAAACAGCAACAAGATCTCATCCCTCTTGTTCCTAGTAGTATCAATACCTATCTCAATTCTCTGATGTATATCTTGGAATATTCCTTTCCTCCCTTCCACCTCTTTTGCAATACCCCCCCCCCCCCCTGTCTGGTGGCTGTAAAGTCTCCTTTGCTGAGATAGAGACTTCTACAAAAAAGAATATACGTTGTGACTCTTAATTTATTCATAATTTTTGAAAGGAAAATTTTCAAATGCTCAAAATTACATTTGGATTCTGAAAATTATCACCTAGTAGATTCCTACTGATTCCTAGGTACATTGTTGTACATACTGGAACAGCACCTTCTGGCATTTGACACCATGGTGACGACATCCCCTTTGGAAGTGGACAATCCACCTCTCTGGCCTCCATTCAAGCAATCCAACCAAGATGATGCTGATGCAATGAGTATTATTCTTCCCCAGTATCTCCCCAGCTGCTGGCAGGTTGTTGTTTCCAACATTTGTGCCTGACAACAACAACAACAACAACAACAAC